TTGATAGGACAGTAGAGAGTATAATTTAATTTAAATTAAAACATTAATCCTAATTCTGCTTAGTTATCATATAAGACATAATAGTTTTAAATTCAAAGCTGTGAATAAAGCAAAAAATAAATATATTGGCGTAAAAAAATCGATGAAATATTGAAAAATACAATCAAATACAATTAAGTAAACGTTCAAAATTACCTCCCATGCGCTTCAAAGTCTACCCTTTTTCACACTTTTTTTTTTTCTCGTGACAGCTAAAGGCTTTATAAAGTATTCAAAAAGGGAAATGCCAATTGCAAGATGGGAGGTAAAAGAGAGATCTGCTTAATATGCATTTCTCTTTTATAATCCAGAAGTTCTATTAGTAGATTACGAGCTATAGAACGTGCGGAGGGACAGAATGCAGAAGTAAGAGAGAAAGAGAGAGAGTTTGTGTGTGCGTGTGTTTAAGTGAGTGCCACATGAGAAAATACTGGCTTGAGTATTCCATTATGTGCAAAAAACTGTGCAGTTTTTAATCAATAATACTACTTTCTATACAAATAAACACTTATTTGCATTTCCTGTTTAAATTTGCTAACAGATTGGTGCATTTACTACATCTACCAGCAGGGGCTAACTGGACTATGATAACCAGACAAAACCTCAACCCTTTAGTGTCCTCAGATAAAGGTTTATTCAGGGCTGTATAACAAATAATAACTACATAATGAATTTGTCTATTAAAATCCTAACAGCAATAATTTCACCTTTTTAGATGTGTTCAAGTGCAATGTCAAGAAAGCAAGTAGCTAACATCATTGCTCTGAATTCCATCACATGGAAGGCTTGTGGAAAACGCCTCGGCATGGATTATGTGCCCCCTGACTAACTAATCCTGCTAATTGATGAACCCCAATGTTCATGGTTCCCTTAGTCAATCTTTATTAATTACAACTAAACTTATGTTGGGACATCAATAAAAAAATAATAAAATAAAACAAAAAATTAAATAATTAACTAAATAAATAAATAATTAATAAATAATAAATTGCGGGCAGATTTCAAGCACTTAATTTTCCTTAAACTTTAAGGGCATAGAACAAATGTATAATTTGCAGTAATCTAAAACAATTGGTCACCTTGGAATTATAAGGTTCTATCTGCATTTTGCATGATTTTAGAATTTTGAGCTTTCAAGTTTTTTTGCATTTCATATAGCAAACAGTATGTATGTAACATTTGTTTTTTAAATAAAAAGTCCTAAAATGTAGACAATAAATAAAAATAAAAAAAAATAAATAAATAAATAAATATATATATATATATAAACCATCCCAAAATGTGAATAAGTTGTCAATTAATAAGAATATATCAATAGCTCAAATTTGACAAAAATGTTAGAACCTTATAATTCTAAGGTGACAAGTTAAGTTATGCAAAATGCTTAAATGTGATAGGAGATATTTTATTCTGTTACTAACTGTTGTGTTAGGATTATTATTACTTGGTAATATTGTTCTTACTTATTACCTTATTATTTATAAAATTACTTATTAACTTATTTTTACACTTATTACACTAACAGAGTTGACAAAATCAACATTTTCCACCATCATTTGCTTTAGCTCAAGATGTTAATCATAAATAAGATACCACATGGCATGTTTAAAATACAATTGTATGCATTTTTCACCATATTATCACATAAAAAAATATATATATAATGAGAAATGTACAAAAACGTCACAATAACAGAGTTGACACAATTAGTCTACTATTGGCGTTGTGAAAATATGTATAAAGAAGCATAATGACATGGATCAATGTCTTTTTTTTTTTTTTTAACTAAATTACAAATAACTCAGAAAATAAATGTTTAATGCTTGATTATTAAAGTTAGTAGAATAATCATACACATTTTGGAGATAAAAATAGAGATATTGCAAACTTAGGCATAATGGTAGTTGTTATGTTAATTTTTTAAGGAAAAAAATCCCTATATATATATATATATATATATATATATATATATATATATATATATATATATATATATATATATGAGATAACTTAATATAATTAGGTTTATTATCAAAAAAAGTTGATTTTTGTATTATTATTATTATTATTATTATTATTATTATTATTATAAATTCATATTCCTTCGGCTTAGTCCCTTATTCATCTGGGGTGAATGAACCGCCAACTATTCTACCTTCTGTTTTACGCAGCGAATGCCCTTTTAGCTGCAACCCAGTACAGAGAAACACGAACACACTTTTGCATTCACACACACACTTATACACTATGGCCAATTTAGTTTATCCAATTGACCTATAGTGCATGTGTTTGAACTGTGGGGGAAACCATAGCACCTGGACCCACATGAACACGGGGAAAAGTGCACAATCCACACAGAAATGATAACTATTATTATTATTATTATTATTATTATTATTATTATTATTATTAATACTACAAATAATTATTATTTTAACCTTTTTTCTTCGAATCCTTTCAGACATTAATTGTACCCGCAATTGTAGAATCGCTCATGTATAATATTCACACCCCAGCCTAACTACTGCAATTTTATCACTTTGCATTGCAAATTAATATTTTTACAAGCATCTTCAGCCGAGGGCTTTTAAAAAGCTCATTTGATCACAGTAAGCAGAAATAATGAATGTTACACTACCCTCATTCGGCAAAAGTCTTTTATCCAATGATGTAACAAGTAGATGACTGATTAGACTATAGACTGATGAAGGAGGTAGACTGTAATAAATTGAGAAGATTTATTAAAATTGTGCATAAATTCTGTGAAGCTGCACTTGATCTGCAGCTTTCCAGCTGCTCTATCATTTAGAGAATTTCTGGATATTAATGTCAGCAAAAATGGAGATGTAGCACTATAAACATAAACAAATAGGAAACTAATTGGCACTACACAAATGCATGTATTAATATGGTCTCTTTTAAGGAAGATCAGTCTCACTCTTTATCACTTCATGAATTTAATGTATTCTTCCAGCATGAAAAAACTGCTTGTTAAGACTGCAATTGTGCTTATTGTGGAAGTAAAGTAAACTATATTAAATATGTGTTAGAAGTACATCTGACATCTAGAAACAGTTGGCAAAGCTCTTGTAAAGGAAATTTCTTAAAAACGATATAAATACGGATAAGACTCTAATCTGCTTGTGATTGTGTTATATTTACAGCATGACATATTAGTTCTAACTAAGGGTACATGTACACAACTTTAAACATAGATGACAACTAAACCTGGAATCGCTAATTTATGAACTCTCTATATTTGTAGGAATTATTGTTCAGTAGTATGTTACACAAATCAGCACACACAAACACAGTTCAATTCAATTCATGTTTATCTCTATAAAGCGCTTTCACAATGTAGATTGTGTCGAAGCAGCTTAACATAAAAGTCCTAGTAAATTGAAATTGTGTCAGTCCAGTTTTCAGAATTTAAGTTTAGTTTAGTTCAGTTCAGTTCAGTTCAGTTCAGTTCAGTTCAGTTCAGTGTGTTTTATTTTCACTGCTGAAAGTTACTAAAGAGTACATTAAAGAACAAATCCATCGATGCGCAGCTCCACAAGTCCCAACCCAAGCAAGCCAGTGGCAAGAAACAAAACTTCACCAATTTGAAAAAAAAAAAAAAGAGAGAGAGAGAGAAGAAAGAAGGAAAAAACCTTGAGAGAAACCAGGCTCAGTATGGGCACGACCATGTGGCCAAACTTTTTGCGCAAATGTTGGATAACAATTTTTTATTTTTTTTTTAAACAGACTCAATAGACTTAATAGATCATTAGAACTGAATTGACATCCCCGGCATTACATTCTTGGTCAACTACTATTCAATCATTCATTAATTTTTCTGCGACTTAATACCTTATTTGTCAGGGTTCGACAAAGCAGAATAAACTGCCAACTGTTCCAGCATATGTTTTATGCAGCAGCTGGCCTTCCAGCTGCAACCCAGTGCTGGGAAACACCCATACACTCTCACATTCACACACCCACTTACACTACATCCAATTTAGTTCATTCAGTTATAGTGAATGTCTTTGGACTGTGGTGGAAACCGGAGCACCCAGAGGAAACCTATATGAACCCACAGAAATGCAAATTGGCCCAGTGAGGACTCGGATCAGCGACCTTCTAGCTGTGAGATGATCATGCTAACCACTGAACCCCCATGCCGCTGCTCCTATCTACATATGAGAAATAAAATTAAACAACTGTTGTCTGCTTATGTTGATTTACCTATTTATTTATATATTTAATTATGTATTGAAGCTATGAAATGGAATATGGTTGGCAATAGAATGCATACGCACAAACGTCAGTAAACACCCATTACTGTAAGTACAAATGAGTTCCATTTGAAAACCTTCAGTCCTGTGGACAGATTGTTTAACTTTATTCCTCACAGCATGGCTTGGTTTGGTAATTATTATAGATGAAACCTAAATACTAAAGAACTAAAGAAATGAGCAAGTTTGAAAAAAAATAAATAAATAAAAATTATTTATGTCCAATAGTTTAACGCAAACACAAATTGTAGAAGTTAAGGACATATGAAGCAGGATCATATAGTCTATTTACACTGTAAAAAAAGCAGGGTTCCACATAATTCATTCATGTTGACCCATCACAAATCGGTTAAGCTATAACGTAACACTTTTAACACATTTATGTGGATTGAACATAAAAAATTAAGTTGTTCCAATGAAATCTCAAGAATTGTGTTGTTTCAGTTCATTTTAATTAAGTAGTTTGAACAAGCAACTAATTTATTTTAAGTGTAGAGAAAACCATGATCTTTAAGATGAAATTTTAAAAGCTGATTGTTGTTGCTGTTATTGTTTGTTTTTATTGTTTCTTCACATGGTTTGATAGTGCAACTGGGCAAAACTAACAGAGCACTACACAACTGCTCGATGGCAGAGGGCAAAACAAATGACCTGCTTCATCTCAAGCACTATGTCCTTTTCCAGCACCCTTGCCTCCTTGAGCCTGAACCCAAAGCCCAAGTCGCCAGCAAACAACATTCCTCCAGGAGAGACGTGCGCCCCTAACAAGAATCATTATGGTGTTGTCGGGAGCACAGGGTGACAGCTGGCCCTCTGCTCATGTGACCCTTACCACTTTGTCGACTTAATGTTGGTCACCGTGATCAAAGCCTGCGGACGACCAGCTGTGACCGCTAAGCTAAACACAGCCATTTCTGCGAACAGAACCAGTGCAGGAGCTTCTGTATGAGTAAAAGCTTCATTGGGGGATAAAAAATAAAAAAATAAAAACAACAACCAAAGACTCACTGCTTCTTTAAAACTGTCCAAGGTGTGCAGATAAAAAAAAAAATAAATAAAAAATGCAAATCATTGTCAATACTAAGCTAACAGTTTTTGGGGTAATACATGATAAAATGGTGACAAGAAAGCTTATGGGAAAAGAGTTGCGTTATGAAAGAGTTATAAACACATAAGGGTTTGCTTTATTAGATACAAATTTTAAATTGTCACACTCCTACATTTACAGACTACTGCAATTAAATACAACTCGCATAATTTAGAGTGCTAATATATAAACCCACCAAAGAACAACGATGCAGTTAAAGCAAAAACATACTCCACACAAGCTCATTGTGAGCAATGGGCAAGGGAAGCATTTAAATGTGGGAACGCCGAGGTCAGAGAGAGCACGGTGCAGCAGACAATTCCTCCCCCCACATCGGTTCCTCTCTTTTAAGTTCTGCCCTCCTTTCTGAACCCATGTTCCAAAGAAAGCCTGCATATTTTACCACATGCACAGCTAAATACGCTGTTTGGTTTGCCGCATTCAGATCCCACCGCAAGGTTACCTCTCTGCCCTTACCTCTTTTTGTTCTTCAGACCACTAGCGAAGCAGTGAAAGGTCTTGGCCGCATATAAACGAATTTCAAATGTCATGTCTTGCACGGCTAAAACGAAAGGAAATGCTCTCGCTGACTGGAGTCAATGAATTTGTCAAAATTTTATGATAATTCATTCAATTATTCCTCAGACATTCAAATGATAGTGGAGAAATAGACGAGCGTGGAGAGAGTGAAAGGGAGGGCCGCAGTAATAATCCCTCTCCTGATATTAGAGAGCCTCCAGAGGGGTTTTAAAAGCTCTGTATCTCTGTGTGGAGAGGACTAAAACTTCCGTCCGTCTCACAGAACAGCGTAAAGCCCTCCCTACTCTCTCTGCCGCTCAAGATGGGGGTCCCTCACTCACACGCTCACTTACACTTGGATACAAAAAAATTCCAAAAAAAGAAGAAGAAGAAAAAAAAAATCCCCAGCCCACAAACGCATCCTTCACCAGTCTCAAAGAGAACGACAATAAAACGAGCCCGGTGCAACTCGCTCTTCTCGCGACATCTGACCCCCCTCAGTCCCTCCTGCTCTGGGTCGAGTCGATGAGAAACTAGAGGAAGGACCCCATGTCAGACCCCTGAGCAATTGTGCATCCAGCATAGCTAAGCTCCCCCTCTAGTGTTCGCATGTCTGTATTCCTCGAAGCAACAAAAGCAGCCCTGAGTTTTTATGCTTGTTTCATGTTTGAATGCAACGCAGAAACGCGTTTACATTTACTTGTTATGCATTTTTTTGTCATGATTTTGTTATATCTGGCAGTTCTTTTAGTGACCTGATTGTTTGCTTAATGTTTACAGACAGTACAGTTGTGGCTGAGCTGCAGTTACAGTGTTCTTGCCTAAATAGTACTGGGTAAGAAAGGTTTAGAGGTAGGTTCAAAGCTAAAATCTAGTTATCACCCAGCTGTTGTCATTATTATAATTAATTCATTTTCTTCTCGGCTTAGTCCCTTTATTAATCAGGTGTCACCAAGCGGAATGAACCGCTGTCATTATTATAAAATGTACAATTGCATGTACAGTGTATCCTCATAGGGCTTAGTGGCTACATACATAGACAGCACATTTTAGCTCTTATATCTTATGTCTTATATTTTATATTTTGTTACAGACATACAGTGTCATCCTGCAACTGCTTTGCAGCATATGAAATGTCCCCAAAAATATTTTAACTGTCCAAAATGGGCAATTTTTTGTTTTTGTTTTTACTGATAGTCAAAACGTGTACAAAAAATATTTGTGTATGTGTTATTAATGATAAAAAAAAACAAACAAAAAAAAAAACAGTCAGGAAAAAACTGCTGTGTTCAAGGCGGAAATAAAGAGTTTTTTATTCTATTACACAAAGGTGACTTCGGACCATGAGTTCACATATATGGACATCATTTTTCTCTAAAAGTATATCAAATCAAAAGATGATACTTAGGCTTAATTTTAATTAGGTTCCAATAAGCCAAAATAGCAAAGAAAAATAAAAAAAGTACATGCAAAAAACAGCTTGGGCCTTAGGAGGGTATAGTTACTTCTGCACATGATCTAGATAATAATTAAGAAGTCTATACCTAAACCTGACCTTTACCAATGACATTGTTGTTTGTTGTTGTTGTTACATAAGTACTCTGTATTTACATTTTAAGTACACATGCTGTAAAATAAAGTGAAATAAAAAATGTATTACCCCATATTTTATTTGAGGCCTACATATCACTCATATGTTGAGTTTACTAATGGAAAAATTGTTAAGTAAGGGTTATATTAAATAATACTGTAGCCCTTCCCAGCTTTGCATTGACAGTTCTAAAATAGTAACTACTAAAATCATCCATGCACCACAAAATCGACTCATTAGACTCAAAAAACTATACTATATATTAGAAGGGGGCGATGCAGTGGGGCAGAAGGTAGTGCTGTCGCCTAACAGCAAGAAGGTCGCTGGGTCACTGGTTCGAGCCTCGGCTCAATTGGCGTTTCTGTGTGGAGTTTGCATGGTGTCCCTGCCTTCGCGTGGGTTTCCTCCGGGTGCTCCGGTTTACCCCACAGTCCAAAGACATGCGGTACAGGTGAATTGGGTAGGCTAAATTGTGCTTAGTGTATGAGTGTGTGTGTGTGTGTGTGTGTATGTGAATGTGTGTGTGGATGTTCCCCAGAGATGGGTTGCAGCTGGAAGGGCATCCGCTGCTTAAAAATTTGCTGGATAAGTTGGCGGTTCATTCCGCTGTGGCGACCTCGGAGTATTAAAGGGACTAAGCCGACAAGAAAATGAATTAATATTAGCAGGGACAGTTTTATTAACAATTTAGTAATAAATTTAAAGTTTGCTGGGATTTTTGCTTAAAGTGATTGCTTATACAAATTAAAGAATTTGTTAACTATCCCCTCGTTTCAAACCTGTTACAGTTTCTTTGTTCTGTTAAACACAAATGACCAGTAACTATCGAATTGCATTGTATTTTTTTCTCCCATTATTGATTTCGTTGGTTGTTAGTTTTTGTGTTTAACAGAAAAAAGGAAGTGAGTGTGACACCTGAGTGTGAGAAATCGCATGGGTTTCCTATTGGTGCCCCAGTTTCTCCCACAGTTCTAAGACATGTGCTATAGGTGAAATGAACAAGCTAAATTGTCCGTAGTGTATGCATGTATGTCCTGGTCCTCCAGGTTTGGGGTTAAGCGTTGGGTTAACAACCCACCTCATAAAAACTAGATGTTACGAAACACCAATATGGTACTTCAATATAAATGGCCCTGGAAGTAAGCATACACATCAAATAATCCTGAAAATAATCCATAAATGATGCACTTCTTGACAGAAAATAAAATAATATGTTTAAACATATTTAAACATTTTTGCTTGGGAAAAAAATATGTATATATATTATGTTAAAAACACCTAAAGAAACCTATTAACTTTACCATTCTGATCCATCAGCTTTCAAATCTGACAATTTCTAATTGTCTTTCCTTACAGTGTGTTAAAATGATGGACACAAGCAGAAGGACAGAGGGGCGCTAGCCTGCGGGGGACGCTAATTATGCGCTCTCTCTTCAAATTAACCAACTTTCACTGGGACCTGCCGCACTCGGAGGAAGGGTGGAAAGGAGGGAGAAAGGCAGAGCGCGCGCACACACTAGAGTGAGAGAGAACGGTGAAGCCGAAAAACAGAAACAAAACAATAATCTTGTACTTTGCCTCTTGAAGGCGAGCCACAGTGCCTCTAATGTAGACAAGTCATTTTGTAGAAACCACTAACGCCCGCGGGGGACGGAGAACACATTGCGGGCCGCCTCATTTCAAAGATCTTTTGCAATCAGCGCCACAATGGAGGCCCTCATTTTATGCTGCTACATCATAAAAGTGCTCTTTTGTTACATTTCCATCCTTAAAAGGGCCTTAATCCCTTTCTTTTCAGGCAAGTCTATGTCAAATTCCACAGGGACATCCCATTCGCTGCAAGGGCTAGAGTGACCCACTCAGAAAGCAGCGTGCGAGGCTTTGAGCCTTTCTTCTCCTGCCACTCTCGTGAGAACATTAAATCGTACTTTTCATTCCCCTCACTGTGGGGGGACGCCCCTTAATGATGACAGAGAAAGAGAAATTCCTCCACTCGGGTCCTATGATACCATTCTGCTGTCAAGCGTCCGTCTCGGTGGACAGAGAATCAAACATGGCTTCCTGCAGGTGGAGTGGCGATGAAGGTCATGGCGCAGCTCAGAGAGGCAGCACTTCAGAGGAGTCGCCAGCTTTCTCACAGCAAATTAAGTCATCCGTGAAAATGCACGTCTCTTTAGCGTTTAGCATAAATGTTTGGTTCGTTTAGTTTCATTTCTGCACTTTTTTTTTCTTTTTTGGTTACAACTTGTGTAAAAGTAAGCACACCCCCAATCATGATCCCTCGCATCTATAGCTCGCTCCTATTTTCTCATTCTTTAATCTGGGTTTCTGTAAAATAGCTTTGGCTTTGCTCGTCTTTTGTGTGGCTCTGTCTCAGAGGGGAGCCGATTAATCAGTTTAAAATTGAGCCGTGTACCTCCAGTCACTCAGTGCTCTACTCAGCCTGGCCACTCGATGTTGGGTGCTTCAATAAGAACATTGTACTTATATAAAACACTTGTCAGTCAAGCCTTAAACTGTACCCCCGTCACCATTCATCCATGCTTCTCACATTTTAAGTATCTTAGAGTGAATTGATAAGTATGCTCAGCAAATCTGTTTCCCCTGCTAAATATTTAACGTTTTGCAGCATATGCAAGAACTACGTAAGCGTAATGATTCAAGCATCATTCATTTGATACTTTTCTACAAATATCAGTATTGCATTGCAATTCTAGAAGTATACTGCAGATATATACTGCATATTATTTACTGTCGATCCCAAAATTATTCATAACCCTGTCAAACTTAACCAGCAAGTTTTTTTTTTCTTCCCCAAAAGATAATAAAACAGTGTCAACATAGGCTCATTCTGAAAACATAGCCCCATATACATTTCTGGAGATCACAAATTATGTATCCAGAAGTACACATGTCTGCATTTCGTCTTTAAAATGAATGCTACCATTGAAATAAGGTCCCAGCTTAGCTTCATTTGGATGGCTTTCTCGCTATATGTCGGTGGATTTGAGATGCAGAGAGGAGTTGACCACAATGACAGGGTTCGAGTCCTGTGAAAAACGGTTCCAGAAAATACGTAAACAAAAATAAATGCCACAAAGTAAAATAAACAAGTAAATAACATGGTGAGAATTGGTAAAATGTGAAAACGTGCTAAAGATCAGGTGAGGGCTTTTGTTTTTCTGGATTGCTTTTGAAAATTGTCGGTTGGGTTTAAGGAAGTGGGTGGGCAGGTCAATCGGTGCTTTTGAAAATGGCACTGGTTGGGTTTAAGAAAGGAGGAGGGTGGGTCAATGGATTGTCAGTCAGTCAGTCAGTCAGTCAACAGCAACCTTTTGTGGATTTACACAAGAACAGCAGGCACAAATGGCACTCGAGAGAGAAATTTGAGATACAAGCTTACACAGCGACCTCTGGTGAATTCGAGAAAACAAAATCTGCAAAAAAAAATTTACCACCATGGTGCTCCCCAGAAATGTATTTAGTATTGCGTTTAAAGAATGAGCCTGGATTGGACAGTGTACAAGAGGCATCGTTGTTGGGTATGGATAATTTCGGTCTGACTGTTATAATAAAATAATAAATAAAATCAATCATAATTTTTTTCTAAAAAAAAAATAATGATGACTTTATTAAAATACACTGACGATTACAACTAGCTTAAGTTCAACTTAAGCTGTTCCAACACTGCTGTTCCGAAGTATGTATGGCTCCATTTCGTCTTTAAAACTAACAATATGGGGTGGTATAATGCAGTTCCTTTTTATGGTTACCAGCTGGCTGCTTACCTCCCGTATACCAGTTTGTCCAGAAGCTCGCCATGTACGTTGGCAGACTTGAGATTAGGAGAGGAATTGACCACGACGACAGGATTCGAGTCTGGTGAAGAACAGTTCCAGAAAGCAGGTAAGGCCAAAAAAGCGGGTCAATCAGTGCTTTTGAAAACACTATTAGTTGGATTTAGGAAAGGTGGAGGGTGGGTCAGTCGTTCAGTCAGTCAGTCAGTCAGTCAGTCAATCAGTCAGTCAGTCAGTCGACAGTGGC